AAAAAAAAAAAAACAAGCTAAAATGAATAGAAAGAAATACTGTTAACTAATGGTACATGGAGGGGATTATAATCATTGTAATGAGACAAGGTGTATGATTTGTTGAATGTAAAACTGATGCTCTGCCCTGTAAATTTTCACTCAATTCACAATAAAAACTTTAAAAACAAACAAACAAACAAAAAATGGAAGGAATACACAGAGTCACCGAACCAAAAAGAAATGGATGATGTTCAACCATTTCATGAAACAGCATATGATCAAAAGTCATTGATACTAAAAGGAAGAAGTTCAAAGACTTAAAATACTTACTGATGAAGATGAAACATTACAGTCCTCAGTATGGATTGCATCTCAATGTAAAGAAAACAAAAATCCTCACCACTGGACCAATAAGTAACATCATGATAAATGGGGAAATCAAGTGATATATTACATTACACAAATCTGTTTCAAAAGACCTCTTTAAAGTGCTCAGAAGCAAAGATGTTAGTTTGAGGATTGGGGTGAGCCTGACCCATTCCATGGTATTATCAATCACCCAGTATGCACAGCAAAGTTGGACACTAAATAATGAAGACTATAGAAGAATGGATGCATTTGAATTATTGTGTTGGTGAAGAATAAAGTATCAGGGACTGCCAGAAGAACAAGAACAGTCTCTTTAGAGTAAGATTTTGTCTTTCATTCTTTGGGGGTCAATCCCTGGAGATGGACATCATGCTTGGTAAAGTGGAGGGTCAATGAAAAAGAGGAAGACTCCTAATGAGATGGATTGGCACAGTGGTAGCATAATTAGGCTCAAACATACAATGTGAGGATAGTGCAGGACCAGGCAGTATTCTGTTGTGCACAGGGTCACTATGAGTCAGAACTGGCATGATGGCACCTAATAACAACAACAAAAGGAAAAACGATGTTGGATGACAAGATAAATGGACATCACTTACAGTAAAAGGGCCTCGTTTACAGCTTCAAAGAACTCAGGACAGATGATTTCCTGAGGTTCATGTCCAGGGTAGATGAGCAGAGCCTCCACCAGGGGTTCAAAGTCTGGAAGAGTAACAAGGGGGACACAAACCCGTGACAGGGATGTGACTCGTTCAGAAGCCATCCTGTGGAAGACATAAAATAAGAAATAATGACCCAGAGCTTACAGCCACATGTAATTAAAGAGATATAAAACCTGATTCGCTCCTCATATAAAGAGAGCTGCCCTAACACCATGCATGGACTCTCCTATGGACTCGAATTTCTAGGTGGGAATCCTTTAACTCCCATTCCTATCTACCATTACCCATTGTCAGGACCTCCCACTTCCAATCCTGAAGCAGGACTCCTGCATTCCTGCTCCTGATGGTCTCTTTCCACTGGGCTCCCTATTTCATGTGCTCAGGCTTAAACCCTGGAAGTCTCTCCTTGATTCCTCCCTTTCTCATCTGACCACATCTCAGCATTTCCATCACTGCCCCTCTAATCCAAGGCACCCTAATCTCCAATCTGAGTTACTGCAATAACCTTGTCTCCCTGCTTCCGTCCTCACCTCATTGTTTAGCATCACAACAGTTCCAGCAACCCTTGAAAAGTTCAGGTCACGTCATTTGTTTGCTAAAAGCTTTCTAATGGCTTCCAGTCCCCTTTAAAGAACAAGCTGCCAAGGCCTTTGCCTGATGAGATCTATCTGTCTGGCCTTACCTCCTTCTACTCTCCACCTCGCTCATTTTGCTCCAGCCTTACTGGCCTCCAATGACTCCAAAGTAAGTTCTGCTGTTCATTTCCCTGGAACACAGAGCTAGCTCACTCATCTTGTTCAGGTCTTAAATGTTGCTTTATAAGTGAGATCTTTTCTGACTATCCAATAGAACTGCACTGGCCAATATGGTAGCAACAAACCACAAGTGGCTACTTAAAGTTAAATGGAGTAAAATGAAGCAAAATTAAAAATTAATTTCCTCAGTTGCACTAGCCATGTTAGTACAAATTTATAGGACAGATCCATTACTGTCCAAAGTTCTACTGGGCTTAAGATAGCATGTATCCTCCCATGCCACCTGCCTCTCTTACCCCTAATTCACAATCTTTCATTGTGCTTGTCATCATCTGATATACAATGAATTTCCTTTTTATGACCTCTTTTCTCCTGCAAGGCTATACACTCTGCTATGGCAAGCACTTTGTCCATTTTACTCACTGCTCTAATCCTAGCACTTAGGGACAAGTCCTGACACATGCTGTATGTTCAAGAAATACACCCATTCCTCACTGATTGATATGGTTAGGTTCCAAAGACCACAGACCAGGTCATTATGTAAAAATCAATCTTACATAAAAATGGAGGATAAACCACATCAGATCATCAAATGAAAGATGAGACCATTACATAACTGCCAAATTACATCCCTTATATAAGTGCCCGCCACTGAGAATCATGGCCCCACTAAGCTGACACATAACCTTAACCATCACAGCCAGCATTACTTTCACCTCCCATTTTGGCATCTGTTACTGCCGCTGGTATGCAAAATAGCTGCACAAGAGGTTTTTCACTAATGTCATAATGAAACTGTCAGAAGGCAAGACTGTCAATTTGTAAGATATAGGTATAGTTGTAAAATGTATGAATGAACCAGAGATTAATAAAATGCAATTTTGGGATGTATGCTATCAAATTTTTTCCTAGGAATTTTCATACATATTTATAAATAAGAACTTGGTCTTGTGGTTTGTGAAACACAAATGATACTACAATATAGAATATATATGTGCTCCTCATTTTTAAAAACATTTTCACTTGCTGACTATTATTAAAAAACATATATGATGGTAAGACAAACAATATTGTTATGAAATCATAGAAACCTTCATTAAACGAAAATATCAAAATGTGAAGCTATTGTTTCTCAACATATCCTTCATCAAGGACTACAAACTTCTGAAAGTGACATTTTCATCTCTCTAACCCTTCCCTGTGACCTCTTGCCTGTCAGTTTGTTGTACTCTGATGTCTTGTGTTCTGATGTGCCACTGGTGTTTGAAATATCAGCAAGGTCACTACTGGTGGACAATATTCAGCAGAACTTCCAGAGTAATAACATACTAGGAAGAAGGATTAGGCAGTTCACTTCTGAGGGATCGACTTCTGCAAACCTTGTGAATCACAGAAGGTTGTCTGATATAATGCTAGAAGATGAGCCCCTCAGGTTGGAAGGTACTCAAAATACAACTGGGGAAGAGCTGCCTCCTCAAAATAGAGCTGACATTAATGACATGAATAGTGCAAAGCTTTCAGCACCCTCATTTGCTAATGGGGCATGACTCAAAATGAGAACAAACAGCTGCAAACATCCATTATTAATCAGACTGTGGAATGTACTAAGTATGAATCCAGGAAAATTTGAAGTCATCAAAAATGAAATTGTACACATAAAGATTCATATCCCAGGCATTAGTGAGTGGCAATGGACACGTATTGGCCATTCCAAATCGGACAATCATATGGCTTATCATACCAGGAATGATATATTCAAGAGGAATGGTGTCACATTCATTATCAAAAAGAACATTTCAAGACCTTGAAGTACAATACTGTCTGTGATAGGGTAATATCCATACATCTACAAGGAACACCAGTTAATACAATTATTATTCAAATTTACAAGATCAATAATTTATACATAACTGAAGTTAATGATGATGAAATTGAATATTTCTACCAACTTCTTCAGTCTGAAATTGATTAAACATACAATCAAGGTACACTGTTACTTCCTGGTAATTGAAATGTGAAAGGTGGGAACAAAGAGGAGGAATCAGTATGTGGAAAATATGGCCTTGGTGACAGAGCTGATGCTGGAGATTACATGATAGAATTATTCAAGACCAATGAGTTAATCACTGGAAATATCTTTTTTCAAAAAATAATCAGTGACTATACACATGGACCTAATCAGATGGAATACATAGGAATCGACTACATCTGTGGGAAGAGACAATGGAGAAGTGCGGTATCTCCAGGCAAAACTAGACCAAGGGTAGACTGTGGGACAGCTCATAGGCTGAATAAAATGATAACAAGTTCACAAGACCCAAATATGACCTTAAGTATAGTCCACCTAAATTTAGAGACCATCCCAAGAACTGATTTGACTTATTGAATACTAATGGTCTAGAACAGAGGATTTGTGGAATGACCTCAAGAATATCATACATGAAGAGTGAAAAAAGGTCATTAAGAAGACAGGAAAGAACGAAGAGACCAAATTGGATGCTAGAAGAGATTCTGAAATTTGCTCTCGAATGTAGAGCAGCTAAAGCTAGTGGAAGAAATAATGAAGTAAAAGAGCTAAACGAAGTAAAAGAGCTAAACAGGTACCCTTCTATCTTTTCTCTCTGTTAATCTCATGTTTGGAGACAGTGGGAAATGAGGAAGAGTGCATAGGGACCTAGCCAGCTCGCTGTTTACTAAAGAAGCCCAACCCATCAAATATTTGCATAAAGGAAGAGCTCTATTAATGGTTGTGAGATTGGAAATATGTCTGAGAATCCTATGTGCTGAAAATTAATCCAGGATTTGGAAATAAAGCAGCAGGCAGTCAATGTTCTTGCCCTCCAGCTTTGACTCATCTATCCTCCATCCTAAAAGACTAAGTGTAACTGTCCCCTTACTAAATGAGGGCAGTCTGAGTCTATTACTAGTGTTATGGGGAATGCCAACGCATCTCGGTCCTTCAAGAGAGGGGTCTTGCCTTCTATTGGTTAAGAACAGTCAGGTTAGGCAGAGTTTCCATGCGAACAAAGGTACAAAAGATTTTTACAAGCAGAGATGGGGAAGATTTAAAGCAACGATTAACCTCCATCTTCTTAAAGGCTTTGCTGGGGCTTAAATTTTTTTGGATAGGGAGACGACACCACGTTTATTCACAGGGATAAGCAGGGATTTCCGGGAAACGTCCTATTTAGGAGGAGCCATACTAATTGGATGTAAGTGCAGCATTTCTTCAAGATGGATTTCACTGCAAAGGATTCTGGTAGGAGCAGACAGAACTGATTCTGGAATGTTCCTAATTCAGACTCCTCCCAGGGACTGGCATTCTCTTTTTCCTCAGCAGAAGTTTGATCCTTTAGAGTTATGTCTAGGGCACTAGGCTGGACTCCCAGTGTGGCACTGTAGGATCAGCACTAGACTGCGAATGACAAGGTCGGCAGTTCAAACCCACCAGCCACTCCTCAGAAACCCTATACAGAGTTGCTATGAGTCAGAACCAACTCAGTGATACTTAGAAACAACAACAGAGCACTAGGCAGACAAGTCTGACCTATAAAATATCTCACAAGGAAGTAAAAATACAGAATGTTTATGGGTGGTCTTCCTCAATGGCAGTCCTATAAAATACAGAAATTTCATGGATGGTCTTTCTTAATGGCATGTCCCAGGATGTCGCTGCTCAGCTATGCGCCCTGGGAATGTCCCATGCATCTTTACAATTGTTCAAGCAAGGACGGAAGCAGGCTTTAACATGCCACAGGATTTTGGTCACAAGATTTCAGTCAGTAAGTGACCCATGTTTAATCCTGGTTTATGGACCCGCTTTTTCCTGTCTCACCAGTCACAGGAAAGGGTATGGCATGGGTAGGAAAGATAATTTGAGGACTAAGCGTGTTTACCAAACACTGAAAGGTCTCAGATAACTTCACTGAAATATTCTAAAGTACCATCCAACTTCAGTAGCTCTTGGTTCTACCAAGATGCAGGCAGACCAACTAATAATCTTCTGAAGGGCTTCCAAGTGCTTATGGCTTTCATGGCTCTTTCCTTTGGTCTGAAGCAGAACACTGTTTGGTAGAGCCTGAGATGCAACTTCAACCAGAGTTATGCAACACTTTCCAGACTATGTTACACTGAGCATTAGGTCTTGATGGATTGCCAGACGAGCACTTCCAAGGGACTTCTGCACAAGAATTCAGCTGCAGAGGGCTAGATGGTAACCATATACTACTGAAGACATCTTTCCCATGTGGTTGCCCTGAAGCTTCCAAACCATCTGCAGCAAACCACTGTATTACAGGATAAATTGACAATGCTCAGAGATCCCAGAATGTCGCTCCTTCTAGATGGTTTGTTGCAAAGAACAAGATAGAATTTAAACATTCTGTCACTGAATTGTTGATTTTACTTAGTGGCAAGTGAAACTCTATTTAAAATGCTGTGACAAGACTATTTATCAGACCTCTAAAAATAATGCAGAAAGAAACTCAACAGATTTTCCTGTATTTTGTCCCTCTGACAATTTATACATCTTAAGTTATGAGGTTAATTTCTATATTTTCTAGGAAGTTTTTTGAATTTCTTGAAAGCAATATTAAACATTCAAGTTGTGGGGGGGGGGAAGTATAATAGATGCACTCCAGAAAACAAAAGCATCCATAACAAACAAACAAAAAAAATGTTGTTGTTAAGTGCTGTTGAGTCAGTTCCAGACTCATAGCGACTCTATAGGTTTCCAAGGAGTGGCTGGTGAGTTTGAACTGTCGACCTTATAAGGATAATAGCCTGGCATTACTTATAAGGTACTTAAATTTGGGAGGCTTTTGGATGCTTGAATATTTCAAGACCATACTAGTGGAAGGAAAGTAACAGTAAAACTTATATTCATATTCAGATGGCAATATTTTGGAATCAAGTGTATACTGGAGAGAAGTTTGTCTACTATGAGGTATTCTGAATCCAACTACTTGATTTTGCAAATCTTAAAAATGTACAAATAACTTTAGAGATGATGTTATTGTTGCTGCTGTGGTGATGTAGGGGAAAATCTAACCACTATTATAACTAGTAATAGCAACCACTCTAGTTAATGGCTCGAGTATGTTGACTGTTGTCTTTCAAATGTTGCCAGGAAGCTGTTCCTCTACCTGATTTCATGAAATCTCACTCCACTCAAGAAAATGTGCTTGGTTGCATTTATAATTCCCTAAGGAAGCTCTGGTAGCATAGTAGATTATAAGCTGAGCTGCTAATTGCAAGGTCAGTAGTTCGAACCTACCAGCTGCTCCACTGGAAAAAGATGACACTTTTTGCTCTCGTAAAGCTTTACAGCCTCGGTGGTCGCTATGAGTTGAACCGACTGCATGGCACATAACATCTAACAAAGAAGCTCTGGTAGTGTTGTGATTAAGAGTTAGCCTGCTAACCTCAAGGTCAGCAGTTCAAAACTACCAGTCGTTCCGTGAGAAAAAGATGAGGCTTTCTGCTCCTGTGAAGATTTACAGCCTCAGAAATCCTATAAAGGGTCGCTATGAGTTGGAACCGACTCCATACACACAACCATCACCACCCAGAGAACTATGGAGTCTCAGACAAGCTTTCAGAGATCCAGGTTGCTTTATGAATGGCAAACACAACTTCCTAGTTTTAAGTCTTGAAGGAGGACTTTAAAAGTTCATAAAGTGACTCAAAAAGCATGCTGGCTTTTAAAATTCAATCTTATGGTAAGTATAAATGAATGCAGTCCAAGAGACTGAATTTTCCTAAAGACCATATATATTGGCTCAACAATTCAGAAAAATACCTAGACAATAGCTTGTTGAACACAAAAATTCATTTAAGAAAATAATAAAAAATGAAAGCCTGTGGTAAAGATCACCAAGCAAAGCAAATGAGGAATGTGTCAGATTCATCAGAGTCCAGGCATGGGGCTTACTGCTAGCAGTAGGATTTTTAGTTGATGTTGTTGTTGTTATGTGCTGTGGAGTCAGTTCTAATGCATAGTGACCCTGTACAGGGTTTCTGAGGCTGTAAATCTTTATGGGAGCAGAAAGCCTCATCTTTCTCCCACAGAACAGCTGGTAGTTTCAAACTGCCTGGCTCATAACCACTATGTTACCAGAGCTCCTTTGTATTTTTAGTTAGAAGTTCATTAATTATATCATAGATTTGCTTTGACCAAGAATGATCTAAATGTCTAACCAAAACAATGGTCATTTTGTCCTTGCTGATACTGCCAGCTGGAATGCCCACCATGGCCCTCTTACACTTGACTTTCTAGTGTGCAAGGAAAATTGCCCATATTGTTTTTGAAAACAAACATCCTTAATGAAGAAGCAGTCATGAATCTGAGGATTCTGTTAAGCCCCAAAATGTGACCATCTATCACAAGTTGACGTTTCTCAGCCTTAAGCCTATCGGCCAATATCTCCCAACAGGTCTACCTAATCATGGTCAAGAGAGTTTTGAGGTTTTCTGGATTACTGTCTTCTCCTGTATAGGGTTTCCAAGGAGAGGCTGGTGAGTTTGAACTGCATTTCAAACCGACCTTGTGGTCGAGCACTTATCCTACAGTGCCACATCAAGGCTCCATACATGGCATTCAAATATACATGGGTTTATTTTTCAAGAAAGTATAAACCTGTCTTGAGGTTCAAGCCGATTTTGCAGTCTAGCACATTAGCCCAGAGTGCTACACCAGGACTCCTATTTGAAAGATTCAGATGTGGGGATTCCCTAAAAGCTGAGGGAGAAGATCATTTCTGATAGAGGTTTAATTGGCAAACGGCTTTTTTAAAAATAAATAAATAAATAACTCATTTGGTACCTAGATTCTCTGAGTTAATGATTTATTAGAAACTAAACGCTCACCAAGAAAAACAACTCTGAATTCTTTCATAGTGAAGAAACCCTTTTTTAATGTAATTACTTGCTTTTCAATTTGTCTGAATCTATTTTGATATGCTTAGTCAGGATTTTGGAATATGATGTTTCTTGATATCGGTCATATGTGCACATCAAATACCTCCTGCCTTGTAAATAGTCTGATTGTACACAGCGCGCGCGCGCGCGCACACACACACACACACACACACACACACACACACACACACTGGGGTGGGCTGATGGGGAGTGTGGAACTTTTTACTCAAGGAGACGTTGCACAGTTTACTGCTACTCAATAATTTAGAGAATTGTTGTTAAGTGCCGTGAAGTCGGTTCCGACTCATAGCGACCTTGCACAGGGTTTCCGAGGCTGTAAATCTTTACGGGAGCAGAATGCCTCATCTTTCTCCCGTGGAACCGCTGGTAGTTTCGAACTGCTGACCTTGCGGTTCACAGCCTGATTCGTCGTAACCACTACACTACCAGAGCTCCTTAGAGCTCCTTAGAGAATAGTGATTTAGAAATAGGACACTTGATTAAAAAATCACCAATTAGCTACCTATTCCACTAATAGAATCTCTCTACATAGATTATAACCATAAGTACAAGCATGCACTTCCTAAGAATAATGAAATTCTTTTCCCAAAACCTCACTAATATATTTAGAAACTTGAGAAGAAGGATGTTTACTTGAACACCCACCGCCTTGGAGTGTTAAATCCATGGAGATGATTCTCTCTGAGTTCAGTCACTAACGATGAAACCATCTGTAAAACAAAATCAGTGGCAAGTGAACTCACACTGCACCAGGATTACATCAGTTCTATTTTTCTTGGTGTCAGTGATATTTCTGCTGAGATCCCCTTCCCTGTCCTCTCTGTATGTTTTTCTTTTGTCAGAAGGAAATGAAAGCAGTGCCAAATCACTGGAATTTTGTGTTTAGAGTCTACCATTTTGCATTCCTACATAGACACATGAATAACAAATCATTAATTTACTAAGCATTAAAATCACACCCCTTAAAAAACAGTAACCAGTAACACTTTAGAGTCAATTTATGTCTTTTTAATTTAGTTATTTTACTTGTAAAAATGTTGTGCATGTATAAAGGTTTCAAAAGACCAGACTGGGCAATAAAACAAAACTCATTAATATTTTTTAGAAGAGTTATTTCAAAATCATAAGTTAAAATTTCTTGAAGTTGGTTAAAATTTAAGGAAGAAGAGAATAATGTTCTCTTTAAGCTATCTTTAACATTAAATTTAAAATACCAAACCCAATGCACTAAGTCCAACTAGCAGAGACCCTACAAGATGGAGTCGAGCTGTCCAGGGCAGGCAGGCTTCACGGAAGCACACTGTCACAACAGAGCGGCTGGTGGGCCTACTTCCACAGACCCATCAGTTAACAACTGAGCGCTTTCACTACAGCACCACCAGGGCTCCTGGTAGCTTTAGCATTAAATGTAAATCCAAACTACTATTTACAAGATTACTACTGACTGAATTTTTTGCTTTGCTTTTAAAATAAAATTCCAATCAAGTTATTTTAAATCTACTATTTGTTCAACATTATGAGGCTGAACTTCCACTAAGAAAAGCACTTCTCCCTAATGTCCTAGATGAGAGGTATTATGCGACAGAGAGACAGATTGAGACTGAATGATTTAGTATAACCTTTCCTGGTTTTCTTCTTTTATCTCATAATCGCCCAACTCATATTACTTTCTTATATGGTTGTACATTCGTCTGAGGTAAAAAAGAATAAACATAGAAAAGTGAAACATCTTCCCTAGAGGAGTGAACTGTTTCCATTGATGTTTTTTCTGATGTTACATCCAGCATTGAAAATTTTATTACTAAGACATTAAAAATACTCACATTTGTAAGCAAACCAGGATAGTAATCTGCAGGTGCATACCCAAGACCTTGACAAAAAAGGCCAACTTCTTTTATATCAAATCTGAGTGCCGCAAGTATATGCAATAACAAAGTCTGAAAGACAAAAACAGGAAACTTAAATCTGTTAAAAGTGAATGCAATCTCGGTCCATGATGCAGTTTCTCTTGGGAACCAGACTAGGACAGAAGCATTTATGAGTTGATTGCAGACATCCAGATCTTTCACCTCTAAGATTTTTGCCTATGTCTGCTAAGAAAAAGGACCTTCTCTTGCATAAGCTCAGTATAATTAGTCCACTCTGGAAATTTAGCATACACACAGCACTATTATATGATACATAGTTCATTTTCAAATTTCTCAAAATGTTTCAATAATCTATATAACTTTTCATCATAAGGATTTTTTATATTATGTCTAATTTATATTTTCTGATGCTCTTCTAAGATACCAGCTGAGTTGCTCTTGTGGTCATACATGCTTTCAGAGGACTTGTTTTAGAATGCGTTCTTATCTGAAATTGGCAAGGGATAATCTGCTTAAAATAAAAGGGGAAATTATCTAAGTTATAAAACCAGGTTCCACCACAAAATATGCTTAGCGTTGTATGTGAAAACAACTCCCATTCCAATGTAGCTACAGCCTGTTAAGGAGAAATAAAGGTATACAGACTTAATAATCTAAAAAAAAAAAAAAAAAGAAAAAAAAAAAACGAATGCAGATGCTTATAAAATGTACAGTGAAGAAAACGTGGGTCTTTGGTCCAAGGTGGGCTCATTAGAACTAGTAATCTACAATT